TGCGATGAACACATATTAAGCTGTGTCTTTCTGATAAGTGGTGTTTTGTAAACCTCAGCACATTCCCAACTTGACCTTTATCATTCAGGGGTCAGATGTCAAGGATCATGATGAGTAACCCAGTAGCGTGGGAGACGGGGCCACTTCATTCAAGTTCAACCCCAACAACAAAGTGTACAAGTGTCAGCCAATTAATATCCTCTCTCCAAATTCAGGGTACTAGAATAAAATTGCCATGTGTGATTGATTCAGTTGAACTCTCTCGTCTTCTAAAACTGTGTATATCACGTGAAACTAAGTGTTTCTACATCCGTTTGTAAGTAAATGCCAGCAAGTGATCTTAGTTGGTGTGCGTTTCAATTGATCTGTATCTCATCTTTGAAGTTTGACTTATGCCCTCTCAACTGTGACCCCATGTTGGATAAAGCTGCGGAGGGGCCGGGTAATTCATTCACAAAAATGAACACACAAACGTTCTCTCAGTCCTCTCAACAGCACAGCACAAAACATAAAGAGTATGCATATCAAGAGAGAAGATAAGAGAGTAAAAGATTGATAAATAGTGCAGAGAGACAAAAGGACTAGTGAGATTTCTGTCTTTTTTCCTTCTTTTAAAATTTCTGCAAAATGGATATATACATGGTCAAATGTGTGAAATAAAGCTCATAGTTTTCATGTCACACTCTCAGAATACCACCTGGACCCACCATTTATTTTTTTAAAGGTACATTATATGAAACTTGTGTCCCTCTAGTGGTTACAAAAACTGCATGAATTTTGTGGAAGAACATTGTTTTGGTTTTGCTTCAGATGAATATGGTTCCCTATCTGTCGGTCACTACAACGTTATGTCGACTGACAAATGGTGTCTCACTTGGGAGAACCAATCCATTCTGAGTTTTAGAAAAACTACCAATGCACCTTCCGCTCCTCCAGTGTTGTCGTGTGCCATCGAGCTGTCGGATGATGGGGCAGTCCCTTCTCAGGGGGATCCAGCGTGTCATTCGGTGCTCTGGGTGAGGACCAGATGTCGATTGCTGCATAGGAGTGTAGGCCTATTGTCACTGGAGAGGAAGATAAAGCTGAGCTTCCCCTTCTGGGGTGGTCACTCATGCTGAATTGGATTTAGAGTTGACGGCCATGTTTGCCCGAGCCGCCGTGGCCATGGGACTTGAGTGGAATCTTCCACCTTGTCCGAGCGCTCACAGTTAGATGATTGGTTCTTAGGGGGCGGAGTGCCCTTAGAACAAGTGTCCAGGCACATTATTTTTGGACAGGACCCTGACTGCAGTGGCATATCAATTACCTAGAGTTGCTGGAAGTGCTACTCGGCCTGCGCTGCTGCTTTAGGGCAAGGACGTGTTGGTCCGCACCAGAGCATGTGAGCAAAGTGGAGCAGTGTGACGTATATTAGACATTAGTATTTTAGATTTCTGTTATTTTATGTCTGTGAACATAACTACCGTTGCAAAAACAGGCACATAAAAATACATAAACAAGATGAAATGCATAAAGAACTCCTCTGGATTATTATGCCATAAATGCCATTCGGGTAACACTTTGTAATAACTACACACTATTAATCATAGTTAAGCGTAAACAGTTAATTCATCATTTATAAAAGCATTAAAGGTGGAATACCTAAGATTTTTGCATTAAAATATCCCAAAATCACAAGGCCAGTGTGATATATTTAGTTAAGATGATAACTTACAATATTCAAATGTGTCAAACAATGTTTAATCGTGAGAAAATTGAGATTTTAACCAAGGAAACGGGGCGTGTGAGCAGGGGTGGGCTGGAAGTCACCAGTCAATCGCGTCAAATCCGCATTACCTCGGTTTCGCTCGTATTGCGTGTAGTCCTGGACAAATGTGGAAGTTGTAGTTGTGCGTTAGTGTCTATCAAGCAACAAACGTCAGCTTGTTTCGCGCATTTGTTATGGAATGGAGCACAATTATTCTTTAGCGATTGCACCTGTTTCTGTCGACAAAGTCAAGTCTCATAAAAAAACAATCTTCACAAATATGTCTAAGGATTTCGACAGAGAGGAAGACTTGCATTTTTTTTGCCCAGCCATATTTATTTTTTATTTGACACACCAGCAGCGTCTTACGTCATTACATCACTGCGGACTCATGAACGCGGATTGACAACAGAACCGGAAGAGAATACAATGCTGAATAAAGTTTTAGTTTTTGTTATTTTTGGACCAAAACGTATTTCCGATGCTTCTAAATAGTCTAACTAACCCACTGATGTCTCATGGACTACTTTGATGATGGCTTTATTTCCTTTCTGGACAAGGACAGTTTACACAATTTTTTACATTGATTTTCAATGGAGGGACAGAAAACTCTCGGACTAAATCTAAAATATCTTAAACTGTGTTCCGAAGATGAACGGAGGTCTTACGGCTTGGAACGACATGAGGGTGACTGTGAGTCATTAATGACATAATTTTCATTTTTGGGTGAACTAACCCTTTAAGTAGTGGTGTGGGGTAAGTAAGCCTATTATACGTTTGGGTAGGATTAGTGTTGTGGGAATGGGATACATGTGTATTACACGCAAAAACTGCCCAGGCTATATCATATGCACGTAAAAACTCATTTTCGCATGTAAAGAGCGGGGTACAACACAACACAACACTCTTGAGATGAGACTGTGCTGGAAAAGTATAACTTGGGAGCTAAAAACAATATAAAATTAATAAAAAATATACTTGATAAATAAAAAAGGGATGCAGGGATGTGTAAAACTTTTTAAATGGCCAGCATTCTAATGCCATACAAGCAGAACAACATGGAATATGGCCACAATGAATTCCACTGAAGGTGTCAGTGCACACAGATTTCATGTGGGCTTGATTGTGAAATTTACAATGGAGCAGCATTTCCCTATGTCCCTGTGAGTCTTGATGTACCATTACAAAATCAGGGTTCCTACGCAGTTTGGAAAAGTATGGAATTTGATTTGAGTAATTTCCAGGTCTGGAAAAGTATGGAAAAAGTTAATCGGAGTATGGAAAAATATTGATGTTTCCAGACTATTGTACCTATTTCGTTTTCTAAATATAAACTTAATCACTTCTAAATGTATGCAATCGTCTTTTTCATGGCATTTGGATTTGGCTGCCAGCGAGCGCTGCCTAAAGATCGTTTTTACACTTGATCTGCCTGAGTCTAGGTCTGCACTGTGATTTGTTGTTAGGCAGCAGTTGCCATCACAGCGCCCCTACCTCAAACAGAGTTTTACTAAACATCTTTGACTTTGACATCTTTGACTAAACAACTAAACATGACTTTAGCTCTATTTTCTAATTTTCTGGTTAATTGTACATGAACATCCCTTTTGTTTCTGTAGGGGTTTACAGTTATTTAAATTTACAAAATTACAAAAAATGAACAACATTGCACTGTACAAATGTACAAATTTAACATGATAGTATACACATTTTGACTGTAAGTAAGAGTGTAACATACTTGTCAGTGCTGATAGCATTGTGGGAAAGTGCGCCACCATCCGTTGTGCTTGAGGATCGTCTATCTACTTCCTATTCTAATGAAATCCAAAAACGCCAATAATAAATCTTTGGAATGTAACATACTTTTTAGCAGTTGATTTTTAAAAACAATTTATCAGAACAAGTTAAAGGCACACTTCGCAGTAATTCCGTTTTTGTCAAACAGCGACCCCTGGAGTCGCCGTGGAGTCCTTGTGACGTGTTACTTACTGTAGTATACAATAGTACATTGTGTTTAATTAGTCGTTTAATGAGATCTAATATATGTTGTTAGTGTTGAGAATTTTTCACGTGAATAAATACATAGATCCGACTCGGTCCAGTGGCAGAACTTTTGCCAAGCGTGTCAGAGGTTCTGGGTTCTAATCCGCACGAAGTAGTATAGTTTTTTTCCCTCATCAAAACGATTGTTTATTGGTGGTTGTATATCAAGCAGGGACACATTTTTTTTGTGCATTAGGTTTTGTGTAACAAACATAGAGAGTCTCTCCGCAACGGATTGAAGTGTGCATCCGTGTGAAGGCTGTGCGAGTCACAACAGAAACACTGTCTCCACGCTACTGATCGCAGCGGCAACGAGCACTTTGGTCACTTGATTTCAAAAACACATTTCAGATCGCCTCTTATTTAACAAACGAAAGAAATGAATGCTCGGGGGGCGAGACGACCACCATTCAACCAGAAAGAAGTCATATAATCATTCCAGTAACTCCAAAGCTGTTCAGTTCAACTACAAAACCTGCATAGTTCCCCTTTAAATATGGTCAGAAAAATCTGTATGAGGTCTGGAAATTTGAGTCTGGAAAAGTATGGAATTTTGAAATGGAAATTGTGTAGGAACCCTGCAAAATGCATAGAACATAGTTTAGCATAAAATCAGACAAGTTAATCACAATGGAGAGGGACATCCTATTCGCTTATAGAGATACAGAAAAGGGGCATGTAAACTGCTTGTCTGTGAAAAGACAAAGTTTGAGGGTCACTGCACCAAGATAATGTGATCTGAAAGGCCTAAAAAAGTTGCTCCAAGTGGATTCTCCCTGTAATTAGTGTTCTGTATTTTGCTTTGAATAAAGTCTATTTAGCATCTGCTACTAACTAACATGACCTCAAACTTCAACACTGATTTCCGGTTTAAAAGAAGTCATAAGAGCCCCCATATTTTACAAACACACTCAAAACACATGCTGTTTGAGGAGAATACTAACTCTTTTATAAGCCCTACAGGGCTTGCAAATGCTCCAGAGTTTATTTAAAACCAGTAAAAGATCTGGAAAGAGCTCGGCCCCAGAAACACACCTAGCCCCTCAAGGCTTAATATAGCACAGTATCAAAAGTCCAGATTATAAATCCCACCCTCTCCTCTCAACACTTTCCAGATGCAGTCATAGGATGTAGTCCATGTTGTTTCTCTTCTACTACTGCTGCCAAATTTCGCACTGCAGTCTCTTATTTGGGTTTAGCGCCATCTGGTGTATGAACCCCTCTTTCTAGACCCCCTTATTGAAATGATGATAGAAAAAAAACATTGAATATTGATGGAATATTGAATACAGTATCAATTTTAAAATTCAGGTAAAGAATTTTAAATAAAATGTGTCCTTTTGCAGGTTAAATGTAATCAACTTCCAGAATATTTAACATATTCTGTTATGCTTTACTGTGCACATCTTAGAGCAACCATTTTATTTCATGCTTATTTCACTTTGCACATCCTTTAAAATAAATCCTGTCATCCCCACTTCTCCAAAACATTTTTTACAGTACTACCGGTGTTGAGGAAAGTGCTGTAGTTGTTTTATTGCCATGCTGAAAAGTTGCTACCCTAGTTTTTTAACCCAGTTTTATTTCCTTTATCAGAACAGAATGTGTGTATGGGGTGGGGGCTGAATATATTTGGGGAATATAAAACCGAATAATAGGTTTACTAGTCAATAATAATAATAATAATAATAATACAATATTCAGTAATTATAAATTATAATGAAACTATTATAAAATAAGAATGAAAAATTGTGTCGCTTAACATGTTGCAGTGCATGGTTTAAATGCTAACACCAAGTGGTATTTACAATCATAACGTAAAATGACTGAAAGACAAATGAAGGCACATTTCCTCAGTGCTATGCATGGTATGACGATGATCTGCGCTCATAACCGTGTCTACCTGCCAGTGCCAGAGGAAAGCGAGAGGGTGGGATTCCTCGTGGGGTGGGCAACGATGCGCGCTATTGAATGGTGAGCGCATAGTGAATGAAGCTTCAATGGAGGAGGCAAGGATGACCGCGACAGCGCACGCGCCACACCCCCGCGTTTAATTAAAACATCTCAGGGTTCGGCTGAGTGTGAGCGAAGATGGCGACAGAGTGAAGGAGACCACGGAAAGATGACAAGCCCCCTACAGACAGACAAACGCGCACAAGCTCTTCACCCCGCCGCCTCAGATATGCCCGTGAATAAGTAAGACACGGCTGCGTACAATGTGTTTTCAAGGAGATGCGGGGTAGGTGATGGAGTCTTGCGGGCGGCATGTGCTTTATCATGCACTGTCTCGGTAATTCAGACGCAGGTGTTTGCAGTGCCGATTCGTTTTGAAAAGCAGGTGAAAACGATGCTTCGAGCCATCATGTAAACGCCGCGGTGGGGAATATTGCGGAGGAGACCCGCCCGTGTGAGCTCGCGCTTTGTCTCCCCCTCTAAAATATGATCACGGGCGCCTGGCGGTGTGGAAGGAAACTTGACGCTGAGTTAGAAATCTGCCGCGCGACCGAGCCCATCGACAAACCGTGCTGTGAGCCGGAGACGGTGCAGAGATGGCGCATGAGCCTCGCATCGCTGCTCTTTTTCACGGCGCTTCTGTCCGATCACCTCTGGCTCTGCGCGGGAGGCAAGCTCCGCTCGAGAGATCGGACTAACCGGAGGACGTGGAGCAACGCTAGTCACGACGCCCAGACGGGCCTTCGCGATGAGGACTGCGGGGTCCTCTTGAGCAATCTGACACAAACCGGGCCAGAGTGCGTGGATGCTGATGCGCGGCGCCGCGCGCCTCTGGAGTCCGCGTGCTCTACGCTTTACCGACAGAAGAGCGGCTCGGTGAGCTCCTCCTATTCTATACCGGTACCCACGGTGTCGCCGCACGGGTTTTTGGAGTACTTCCGGAATTTCAGCTTGTCGTTTTGCGACGCACTCACAATAGCGGACCTGCTGGAGAGCATGACTAGCCCGGACGGGCTTAACTGCAGCCTGGCGCTTGTCATTCATGACCTGTTCAGTGGAGGACCGGAGGACGGGGACGTGTGCAGCGCTTGTGTTCACGCGTACATACGACTCGACCAACATGCTCAGGAAAAATATGAGGAGTTTGACGTAATAACGCGCAAATACATGGCGGATGACTACTCGGTGCGCTCGCAAACACACCTGTGTCAGGTGAGATGCGCTAGGCTAGTTACTACCATCAACACTTTGGATGAGGTTGTGTAGATGGATTTAAATGCTCTTCAGAAAGCACGTAATGCCATAAGCATAAATAATGTGAGCATGGTAATATTTTGTGGTTTCAGGCAGTGTATAAAGCCTGGCTTTGTGCAGAATACTTTCCGGTTCCCCAACGGCGGTGTGCAAGGTGGCTTCCGTGCAGGCGCTACTGTGGCGAGGTCACTGCTAGCTGCCCCTTCATCCTACCAGACAACGACCGTCTGCTGTATGCCGGCCTGCCCAGCTTTCTCTGTGCAGGTAAACGTCTATCAACGCAGGTAACACTGTACACTATAAGGCTCAAAACTGTATGGACAACCCCTTCTATTGCAGTAAATGTACAGAATTGTGTGCTTCCAACGTGGTTGCAACAGTCTGGTCCTGGTTGCATGAAACTCCTTAAGTGATACATTTTTAAGGTTAAGGGTATACCCTTAGACATGGGTTGCAAGAAAAAAAAAGTAAGCATCCATTTAAGGAACCTTAAGGCTGTCATTAAGTATTTTCCCTTAATTTAAAGTGTTAGTTCACCCAAAAAATGGAATTTTCTCACCCTCAAGCTATCCTAGATGTATGACTTTCTTATTTCAGCCGAACACAATTGAAGTTGCATTTAAACAATATCCTGGCTGTTCCAATCTTTATAATGGGAGTGAATGGAAACTGTGAATAGATTTTGAAACCCCAAAAAGTGCATCCATCCATCCATCCATCCATCATGAAAGTAATCTATATGGCTGTTAATAAAGGCCTTCTTGAAGCAAATCGGTCTGTTTTTGTAAAAAAAAAAAAAAAATTCATATTTTTTACTTTATAAACTGTAATTTTCGGTAACAGCCGCACACAAGTCTAATTCTGGTGGAAGAGTGCAACAACGTGTATCGTCAAAGATCAAATCAAATGATCAACAACGTTTTCAAAATCTTCCACTGTGTGCTAGAATTAATAATCTCATGCCAGGCTTTCATCTTGTGCACAAGAGTGACTTGGGTGTTTTCCCTTGGGTGTTTTAATAATTAATTATTTGAATTAATTATTAAAATTAATTTAGAAGTTTGGTTTAGACACCTGACAAGTTTGAATCCTAACAGTTCGAGAGATATGCGATTAACAGACAGACAGACTCACAGATAGACAGTTTGGCTGCAGTTTGTAATAATCTACATTATCAAAGTTTCAGTGACAAATTTCTAAAGCTTTAACACTCACATTTGTATTTACATGCTTTTTGTGCTCCTTGGGAAACTAATGATAATGATATTTTAACTATCCAGTCAAATCAAATGTGTTATGTGGCATTCAATGACATGCTTTTTAAATGATATAGGCTATTGGTGAATGATAGTACTAGTAGTAGTAATAATAATAATAACAATATACACCAAAATATGTTATAAATATAAATATATAATAGATATTGTCTTATTAGTGTCATGATTACCTGTATCTCTGTTACATAAACTCTTATTTGATATTCTTGACTTTTTCTTGTTTGTGCAGCCAGTTCACAGTGTTGCCAAGTCCGCTTATTCTAAGCGACTTGGGCTTGTTTTTCTGTAAAGTCGCTTGCAAATAATGGGAGGTGTGGGTTGCGGGTTTTTTTTTGGGGGGGGGGGCTTGTTTTGTTTCTAAAGTCTAGTTGCTTATTTGGGCTTGTTTCCAGCTCGTTGCCAAGCAGATAGTTTCTATGTTATTTAAAAGTAGGAGTTTGTCTTGCCTGTTCCCTCTCTCCCTTTCCCCATTCAAAGAATTTTTTTCCCACCCACATCCTGCTTCTAATTGGCTCTGACCCAGATGGCAACGAGTACTAGCCAATCAGAGGCAGAGCAGGGCAATCTTTTTTTTTTTTTTTTAATGACGTTAAAATGAATACACGTGCGAGTCTGGACCATCGCGACTGACTGGACTGTAGGAGAGTTTTATATCAATTATATGTTAGATATTTTAACAATGTAAAAATATATTTTTTCTATTTTATATAAAATACATATATTACAAAATATATTTTACTCTAAAACTGCAAGAAAATGTAAGCCAAAATAAGCTTTCAGTCAGATTTTATTTGGGCGCAGTACCAACACAAGATGGACAGCCAAGCTTTATTACAGAAGAAAAATAAACTGTACCATGTGCACAGTTTACCAACCTGTCCATGTGGATGTAAATTGACATTCACAGTTTAAAACTATCCGATCCGTCCCCACAGATTGTAAAACCGTCCCGGAACCTAGGGGGGCTCCGTAGAAAAAAGCTCTTTTACTGTCTATGAGAAAAAGTCGCTTGTTTTGGGCTTGTTTTCACCGGCTTGGTTGCTTATTTGTCTCGCGAGGTCTGGCAACACTGCCAGTTCAGTTCCTGTGGTTTAGTTCCTGTTTCTCTTGTTTCCATTGCTGTCTTGTTAGATTCCTTGGCAACCCTGGTTTGTTACTATGACCACACACCTGTCCTTCATTTTGCCCTTTGACATCTTGTGTATATAAGGGGTTGTTTACCTGATACCGTTTTCCCTTTTTATGTGTTTTCGCCATTCATTTACACGGCAACAGCGGTTTTTGGTGGCCTGAAACAAAAAGCTTTTCTTTTTGGGTTTCAAAGTGCAAGTTTTTGAAAATTATACTGTTATCATCAATGTAAATGACAAAATTTTTACAAATGGGGACGTAATGCACATGCGTATTACATTTTCATCTTCATGTTGCTATAGGCTTGTCATATCACAAACTACTGGCATGGCAGCATAACACGTTTTAAATCATTTTCGCACATCAGTGAGTGTTAATGGTGATCAGTTTGAGAACATTGTCTGTACACAAAAAAAGCAAAGAAAACACTTCCCTGAAACCTTAGTTATTTTCTGTTCTTGGTTGTGGAGATTCCTTGTGTTTAATTAGTTCGTGTGTGTCAAGCCAGCGCGTGACAAATGGCTGACAATTGGAATGTGTGGAGGCGTTTTTATCGGGATTTTTTGATGAACAGGAAATAGGTGGAAAATAGAAATGTGAATTCTTTTAAATTATTTTAAAATGTTTGGTATTATAAATGTCTTTAGTGTCTTTTTCAAATTTGTATTGCACATTTTGCACATTTACAAAGCGGGACAGAGAGCATACTTTTAAGTCACATAACAATTACTAACATCCCAAAAAGCAATATTAAGGTTGAGAACCAGTGTTCTGTATAGACCTCACAGTGTGCACAGGCTCCTTGCTATGCTGGAATAGAAAAGGGCATTCTTCAAATTGTTGAAGTTGAAGAAAACAATGAAGTTGAATTCTTATGGAAAATACAAAGTCTGTTGCCAAATGAAATTAAAGTGCCCCTATTTTGCTATTTTAAAGTTTTCTAATGTTGTTTTGGAGTCTCGTACAGCAATAATAATATTTATTGCCTCATAATATATATTGCATATCACCACTTTTTTAATGATTCTCAAATGACTCGACAGATGAATCAATCTCTCTAAATCCCCCCTTTCTGCGAGCTACTCTGCTCTGATTGGCCAGACAGCACAGTCTGTTGTGATTGGTTTACAGCACGTCAAAACAAAAACCCATAACAACATCAGCTCTGCTTGAGGCTTCCTTCCTACACCGTTAACTAAACAGACTAACGAATAATAGCTACGTTTACATGGACTTTTGGTTCAATTGGAATGAAACCTATTCGATTGATGAATCCAAACACGGTGTTTACCTGTTTACCTTCAAATCGTAATTGATTTTTTGACATCCGCACACTGCACTAATACACTGCCGTTGTCCACGCATAACTAGTCTCCTCTGTTGGTTCTTTGTTTGTTTTAAACAGCAGACTTAATTTTTTATCCGTCTCTGGTTATGATTTGGAGACAATGAGCATATGAACTGTTTATCCGTGCTGCTTATATTTATCACGCAGCAAAGCCTGCCCAAAACCAGTTGCCTGTGGATGAGAGTCTGAAACAAGGACTGGTGGGACGTTGTCTTGCTCCACTTTAGAATGACCCAATACTCAGAGCCGGCCTGAGCCTTTTGGGGGCTCTAAGCAGAATTTGATTTGGGGGCCCCTTCCACTACGCGGAGTCATCTGTGCTCGACTACCATTCACACCAAATATCACACAATAATGATACATTATAAATTAATACAATGAGGTTATGTATAAATACAAAATATATACTTAAAGGAGAACTGAAATGAACCTTTGGTCTAATAAAACATTGGTACCTAGTCGACCATACTCTGAGATTTTTTGTCATGATAATCGAATGTAAAGAGTTTTATCTCTAAAACGATTTAGCGTATAATGCTAGTATATGGGGGCATATAATAAGTAAAAAGAAATCGCTAGTTAATACCACTAACAAGTTTCAAAATAGCCCCACACTAACATAGTAACATAATGAGGGTCCCTACATGCAAAACGAAGCATTGAGAACTTTGTAAGTGTACAGACTGTTTAATAAGAAGATACTTTATAAAGACAGTGCACTTTATGTATACAGGCAGGAGAAAACAGTCTCGACAAATGTATTTTTCCCCTCTGGGCTTGCCGTAGATAGGAATGGTTCAATTGCTGCACAAAATATACCGTAAATAATCATGCAAACATACTTTTATCTTGCTCTTTTTTTCTCCTCCTCTGTCATTTTCTTAGTTCTATTTTCGGCACCAGAGGGATGTGTCCTTTTTTGTGACATGGCTTAACATTACTGCGTGTCCGCGACTATGCACAGTTGCACGCTAATCGTCTATGCACGTGCGAATTGTCTAGATTATGCGCATGACTTAAAACACTGGCAGACACAGCAGCAGTTGTAGGGAGGTATATTGATCATGAAATCAGTATTTTCTGGTCTAATTATTCATTCATTCATGTCACTTGTTTAAGTCATCTAAAAAAAGATTTTTCGATTTTTCGACCCGATTGGGGGGCCCCCTGGTGGCCAAGGGGCCCCAAGCAGCCGGTTTGTTCGCTTATGCCTCGGGCCGGCCCTGCCGATACTCATTTATTTGACACTTTATTCAACGAGAAGAACAGCTTGTTCCGTGCCTCATCAGTCATAACGCTATTTCAATGTCATTACATATGCGCAATCCTTTCAGTTTTGGTTTTCAATCCAAACATGTTCTCTCGATTGTAATACAAAAGGAATAAACCACCCCTCTCGAAATTCCAATCGGATCAAGCTCAATTGGATTGATTAAGGTGTTTACATGAAGGTTTTTTGGTCTGATTAAGCCGAAGATGAAAAGATGAAACATTGGAAGAACTATTCAGTAAACAACTCGAGCAGGACGTTGTTTTCATGTTTTCACCTTTCATGTAGTGTGCAACATAGCTCTAAGTGAATGAAAACATTGCTGCTCAGTGAGTGAGTCGGGAAAACTGCTCGTGCTGATTCGCAGGTGTTTGTGATTTACAAAGAAGAACCAGTTTATTGGAGATATTGGTTCAGAAATGAAAAATGTGTCAACTTCAAAGCGCCATTTTCTCTGTGTACAGTGCTCTGTCCTATTCTAAGCCAGTGTTTCTCTCTTTCTCACTAGGGCTTGAAGAGGAGTATTTGAGCAGTCAGGGTCCAGACTGCTGTGATGTCAGATGGAGTGGGTGTGACTCGGCTGTAGGCGCTGCATGTGCTCTGACACGCCTCCCGGGCTCATTTTCTTTGCATAGGAAGCTATCATCGGGAGCGGTGTCGTGTACAAATCGTCTTCATGGCAGTAAATTGAAACTGTGTGTGCTTGTTCTCTTCTTACTGCACACTGTCATCTCCATAACAACATTGCAGCATTGCAGCACTGGCTCCTTGGAGGCAATAGTACCTCTAGAAGAAGTTCCCATGAGGGAGGAGTAAGAGAGCGGAACATCTCCCCCTATTGAAAGACACACATACTGTGAGAGTGTTTTTGTCTGCTGTGCTTGAGACGAACCTTACCAAATGCCTGGAAAACACAGGAAGTCTCAGCCCTGCTGAAGCGTCTGTGCCTGTCTTTTTGATGGTTGGAACATCTGGCTTGATCGTATGAGCGTATGTTTGTTTGAGCGAGTGAATGTTTTTAAATGTTTTTAGTGTTCCCTTTGTTTTATCAGAATTAAGTGCATATATATGCTACAAAACAACTCATGAATGTTGTCTAAAACAAAAGAAGACTGTCAATCTTCTTTTGTTTTAGAAAACAATCATGGAAACAAAAACGAATGGATTAAGAATGGATGGATGACATTGTTACATTTCTCCCCTAATAAAACCAACTCTACTGGAGACATTTTTCATATGTACGATTATCTTTCTCTATATTACAGGAGCATGGTTACATCTGAATTTGGGGTGGTTTGGGGTGATTTTCTTTTTTAGGTCTTTTAACAGTATTCATTTCTGTTGCATGCTCTGTTCATTGCTGTTTCTCTCTCTCTTTCTTTAAAGGCTTCCACACACTGCCAACACCTATTAACGCCTCTAACATTTACTCATGGGTTTTATGTTGGTCTTGATATTTCGGGCTGTTAAGGGGGCTTTGGTAGTTACCATTTAGCAGATGCTTTTCTTCCAAAACAACTCACAGTGCTCTAATTGAAAGAAATACTGTGGGAAAAACTTAAGAAACATTACAAATTTACTCCATGTGGCCTGTCACAGTACCACAAACTCCTCAATAACAACATGAAAACAAGTTTAAAATTAGTACATCAACCAGACAGGGTGGTTTTGGGAACTTACAACTTTTAAATAATGGTTAGTGAAATGTTATTTGATTTATTAGTAAATGAATATATTTCATTCTGCTCTTTCTGTCAGACTGAGAGAAGCTGTTGTGGGAGAAAAATAAACTGACTGACTGCATTAATGGTGAGGATTTAGACACTGTCGGCAGATTACATCGTTACGTCAATAGGTGGCGTCAAGTGACTGTCTGATTGAACGATTCATTAAAAAAAAAACGTTTTAATTCAGGAATTAAACGGGTGTTTGGCTATGTCCGAAATCGCATACTCTCGAGTAGATACTTATTTTGGATAAGTAATTTCTACATTACAACAAAAAAGGTAATCTGGACGTGCTACATTCGCCATGTTGTCATTTTCATGTGACCTACCAGTGCCAGTTATTACATATTGCTTCATTGCCATACAAATCCTCTTCTGTGGCCTCATGGGATAGATAAAGTGTGCACACTACAGAATGAAGTACTAGGTCATCCGGGTACTTTCTGCCCTCTCTTTTATGACTATTGTTTATTAAAGCCACTAGCTTTATGGGTGAGTCAGTAAATTATTAATTTAAACAATTAATTCAAAAAATGAGTGAGTCATTCAATCAAAAAACACACACACATTTATTAATCATTTATTTATGATCAATAAATGATTAATTATCAAAGCAAAATAATGCTTTCTGAAAAATTATGACAAATGAGTATATACAAGAGTTCATTGTTAGTCGCCAGTAGCACACCAGCTCCAGGCAAACACTGACACTCAAAACTGACCTGTTACTTTAGCTAACATTACATCAACAGCGTATCTTGGTTCTGTGAAACATTACGAAACCAGTGTTATTCATGTATTGAGCAGAAACAATGCATACTTGGTCTTCCCGCTCTCTTACCTTACTCCAGCGCTGGAAAGATTTTCTAATATTAACGCGGGTTAAAGCTTTTTTGTAATGTCTCTCAGCTATCTCTCTTTCTACAGTCTTTCTTCAAATCTCTCTCTTGCTCACTCTCATCCACCATCATGAGTGTATATACGCCCCCTACTGCTGATTGGCTACAAGTGTACTGTGGTGCTCAGTCCGATCCACGTTCAAGAGCATTTATTTTCCTTTATTTATTTATCAGGGACAATGCACAAAATACATTAGTCTTGCGAAGAGATGCTTTGTGCCAGTGTTAGCCGAAGCTAATTTTCACCCGCAGTCCCCGGGCAGGTGCACACAATTTAAGACATTAAAACATTGCAAAACAATTATATAGTAATATCAGCTACACATATTAGTCTATGAAAATCATATAAAAACAATCAGATACAAAATGAGAGAACATATTCAAAAGACCATCTCTACTCATAATGTATAGGCTACATTAAACGCACTGATGCTGACACAGTTTTTAGAAAAATGGTTCACATCTACAGACAGCTTTAAACTGTTGGGGAGTTGATTCCATTGTTTTATAGTTTTAAATGAATAAGCTGTCTGTGCAAAGGCGGAGGATATTTTCGGGATAGCCAAGTTTTTATGAACCGTTGATCGAGAAGTTCGATTTGTTTGTTCCGAATAAAGTTTTATGAAATTTTTCATTAAGGGTGGAGCGATTATTAACAGTTTTAAAAACAGTTCTTAAATTTGTAAATAAAATTAGGGAATCAAATCATTTCTCAGAAATCCCTTACTAAACCTAAACTACTAAAAAGTTCTTCATGTAATCGGTGTAGTTGCAATGACATTTTATGTTGGGCTTTTTCTAAATACTTATTGCAGTATTTGCATGCATGTTATGGACATTTTCAGGGGTATAGCTAGTCAGGGACAACACAAGACACCCAAAAAAAAAAAACAGATAAACGGGCAAGTCATTACCCTAGATTAGCTGAATAATCATATCAAACTGTTTCCTCTGTTCATGTTGAGTGTTCGTCTTTTTTCAGTTATCCAGGCCGTTATTAATCGTCATGTAGAATTTATTAAAAGCAGCTGGTCTTGTTTATCCATTTGTTGTAGATGTAGCCCTTTATCTCAGTGAATTCATCAGTTTTCTTTAGTTTTTTTATGTCTTAGAGATAAAGTCTGTGAGCTGAGTCACTAGATCTGTTTTCATGTTGCCGCTTCTTTGGGCCATTTTTCCACTGAAATTATCTTTCTCCGCAATCTAAACTCCTAAAAAGAGATGTTCTGCATGAGCACAGACTTGAATCTTTCAGATTCGGATCCTAGTTCTCCATGTATGGACTCGAGACTGCTCTGTGACAAACCAATAAGCCGTGTATATCATTTTCTCTTATTTACCCGTCAATTACAGTATGTTAGTGCATAATCCTTAGGCCTGTGTGGTAATAGTTTTGGGCCAGTAGGAGGTAGTGTTTTCTCATTGTGCATTGGAATGTAGGGATCTATCTTGCAGATTAGCTATCAACATCAGTTTACCCACTGCACTGTATCTCTACTTCTCACTGTAAATACCACCACTTCTAATCGAAACATTTTATTGTTTGATCATTAGTTAATCGTCATATAAAAACTAGTTTAGGGATGTTCTCTCACTCACTAAAACAAAAAGCAATATTTTAATATTCAGCTAATCTAATGTTTTATGGCCATTGTTATATCGTTTGCTGAATTTTGCAAGCTACTGGCCTTATAGCCTAATAATATTGTTGCCCAAAAAAACTAGAAAATTCCGTCTCTCTCTCTCTCTCTCTCTCTCTCTCTCTCTCTCTCTCTCTCTCTCTCTCTCTCTCTCTCTCTCTCTCTCTCTCTCTCTCTCTCTCTCTCTCTCTCTCTCTCTCTCTCTCTCTCTCTCTCTCTCTCTCTCTCTCTCTCTCTCTTGTGTGTGTGTGTGTGTGTGTGTGTGTGTGTGTGTGATTGTTGTTTTCTTAAACTCTTAGCACCCTGATTCCAGCCTCTCTGGGCTCCGTGGGCTGGATTCTCTGTTAAGTTAATTTGTATAATTTAATTTCAACTGCCCAAGGGCCTCAGACCCATAGACTTGAATATTCACTGCCGCGTTTTCTAATCCATCTGTATGTTTGTGCGCGCCTGCGTGCGTGTGTTTTTGGCTTATGTTTTTGTTGCGCGTGTGCGTAAATGCGTATGCATACGTCTTTTAGAACTCGTTCCAGACTTTGTGGGTGGGTTGAGCTATTGTAATGATGCTTTTATTACATTATTTAGTAATGTCTGCGTTTAGGGATAAATCATGTATTGTTAGAGGACATTGCCTGAGTCTGAGACAGCTGGACCGTGTGCATGTGTGTGTGGCGCTGAATCGATTCAGCAGCAGTGTAGCTGTGAATATTTAAGTGATTTAAGATTAAAGAATCTGGAGTCGAATAAAAGCGGCTCAGATTTAATATAAAACCATATTAAAGAGATTCAGCTTTATGAGGTCACAGAGGATCTGCAGTACACAGAGCACAGCTGTGAGTAGAGCGAGAACAGAGGAAGAGAAGGAGAAAGCAATGAAACTGAGGTCAGATAGCACCTTCTTGGACTGGATTTTTCTGAATTACATTGTTGAGCTCCATAGACTTCATTTCCCTCTGGGTATGCATGCTGACTCGGATTATGAAATTGCACCATGTTTACGCAAATAAAATATAAATAAAGCAAGAAAGTTGCGCATTGCTAATCTCTTCATAAACCATCCATCCATCCACTGTCATCCTCCTTTTTACGGCCACTTTCATTGTTTTCCAAATTATTTGATGAGAGTGACACGTCTGAAAAAGCAAGTGAAAGAAAGTGGTTTCCATAGAAAACTTTTACTCAAACAACACACAGCAGAAGAGTTATGCCATTGTAATAAATAACTGTGTATTTTGCAGTAAGATTAATTTGGTGTGTGCGCGCGCGCGCTTTGGTGCTTGACAGTTAAATGTGTGTAAGCTAGAGTGCATGTATGTGTATAATTTTGTTGTTTGAAAAGCATGTGCATGTGTTTCTGTGCATGTGTGTGTCATTTGATGTTTTTGTTTGATTGGCAGTCCTGTCCTGCTTTTAACACTCAGTCTTCTCTGATTCTCAACATATGCACAATTACACTACCAGTCCTCAGTTCTAACGCATTAAAGATGTGGACTTCACACACTTGCACGCTCACACATGCACACACACTCTCACTGAGTAAGCCTCATACAAGCATGTGGTTAGGGAAAGTATGACCAGAAGGATACAGATTGTTTAAGAGTAAAAAAAAAACAAAATAGCCTAAATAAATCATGATTGGGGTCCTTGTGGGTCGCTAAGGGGTCTATAGGGTCTGTGAAAGATTAATGATTTAGATTAAGCATAGCTATAATTTAATAATGCAATCGTTTAAAATGTATATGGGAGTCCCCAGTTCTGTGTAGTTTGAAAACCCCTGCCCTGATCTAGACACAACCAAACGAAAACTCTCTTGACTTAATCAGCTAACTTATTTACAGATTGTTCCTTCCAGGGGTTACGAAATGGGAAATATTGTGTAATCGGCAGCGAACGTACGGTGTGACGCTATTGTTAGCGCCTCAATGATTTGTGTTTGTCTGCGTGCTCTGATGAATGTCACTTGTAGTGCCTCGCGCTCTTTTCCGCGGCAGGATTTTCAATGAGTTGACGTCACGCCGGCAGCCAATCAGCTGCTAGGGGTCGGTCTCTGGAACTGGCCGCAGTAGGTTATCAGCGTGAATCATCGCAGTCCGAGGTCAGGAAGCCAGATGAGCCCACAGAGACGCAATTGCTCACCGCGACCAGCCCAATCCAACAGTCGCTGAGAGAGGACGAGGAAGTTCGGTATGAGAGGCAATGCTGACTGACCTGCACGCAGCCATGGTACCGAAGCGCGAGCCGGCGAAGTTGGAAGAGCGCGAGCGCACGCAGGCGGCGTGTGAGTGCCAAAGCCAATGCAACAACTGCAAAATCTTCCTGAGTTTATTCATTCTCTCGCTCTCTCTGCACCTCGTCACGCTCTTCTGCTACCTGGACCTGCGCTCTGAGCTCAAACGCGAAATATCACAGAAAAACAAAGATGAGGTGTCATCAACGGGGCCAATCCCTCATTATGAAGAAGCCACAGCGCCAGTGCTCCGGTTACCGGACACCGACCACCCAACAATAGACGATCAGGTAAACTGAGTTATCTGTTGTTCTACACAAAGAGTAGGCAGAGTAGACAGACAACAAAACGTGCTTCCTGCTCATTTGTCACATTTGCTTCAACTTCTGTTATTGAGAAGAAAATGTCTCATTGTCTTGCCCCCCAGACTATTGTGTGTGTGTGTGTGTGTGTTTGGAGACCTTTTGTTAGAGTCCACTTCCTTTAGGTCAGTGCCTCTAAACCCTGGTTCTGAAGTGTCACAGCACTGTTCATTTTAGAGGTCTCACTTTATTTGACACACCCAGTTGAGGTCTGAGCTGATGGAAAATCAGGTGTAAAAACATCTCAAATGTTCAGTGCTTTGGTCTTCTATAGGACCAGGATTGAAAAACAAGTAATTGTGTGAGACAGAAAGTCCCTCATGGAGTGAGTGCTATAAGAAATGATAAATTTGTCAATTTAAAGTCAGTCATGAGCCATAGCACTTTTACATTTACACACAAAAAATCACTCCACTATAATACAACTTAAAAGCAGCAATTAAACTTTAACCAAAATCTAACTAGTGTCTGCATTAGGTCATTGCATTTTTTTTTTACATAACACTTTGTTACTGATGAAGAAAATTGAGCTGAAAAAATCCTAAAATGGACAAGAAATGACAAAATTGTGATAAAGTAAAAACAAATGTTTAAAACAAATATTATTTTTACATTGTATTTGTTGTAATCTGGAGTTGTGCATAACTATAATTAGCATTTTTTTGTAATATTTTAATATGCACATTCAGGCACAAAATGCAATCAGTATTTACCAAATTTGCTATTATGTCATTTATATTACTTGATCACAAGGACCGACCCCAATCTAAAGTAGAAAGTTCAGGGGTTTTGCTCAAAGGCACATAAATTGCACTTTACAGGGGTTCAGTCTTTAACCCTTTATGACAACCACCTAGTTTGTGAGCTGAGCTTCAGTCACTGATTTAGATGAGCATTTGCCTCTCGCCCCACTCACATTGTGCGTCAAAAGCCCTCGAGTGACGTGCTTCTCGTAACTGTGAATCGTTCACCTGCAGGGGACATTTGTTCTGTTTAAACAACATCTGTCCTTTTTACGAGTTCTCTTCATCAGACGCACTTTTACTGTCAGGCGGCACAGGTCGCTGTTTATTTAGCCTTCGCTGCGGTTTGGCCCGGACTCGTGTTTGATTCCTTTGGCAAAAGGCCAGGCTCGTCGCAGCATTTCCTGATGTTCACCCCGCGGGCAGTGTGTTAGTGCTGAATCCAGAGCGCCTGGCTCAGGGATGCGTTTTATTAGACATGACTGGAGGTAGAATTACACACACGGACAAATTCCTGCAGTGAATAAATGAATGAATGAATCTAACGTACGTGTATGGCCTTTCTGAAGTGAATATCAGGGTGCAGAGGCATCTTGTCCTTGGTGCACACGAACAATACAGTAAAAGTTAGTGCTAAATTGCTGTAGGAATTGTATTGTTTGCTTCTTGTGATATTTATATAGTTGTTGGCATCCTAATTGTCCATTACTTGTTTGTAAGCTTGTACATTTTTTGCATTCACAATTTTCATTTGTGATTTTAGAGTGTATGGAGCTGCCCTACATAGGCGCACACAACATCTGTGTGGGATGGACACTCATTTTGGAAGTATTGTTACTAGGCATGGTGTTATGGTGTGCATGTGCGTGCAAATATGTGTCTGTGAGTATTGCACTGGTGCATGTCAGAAGGAGGCGTGTAACCATGACAACTCTGATTGATGGAGGGAGGCGTGAGTGCGGTTTGTCTGTCAGAGTAAAGATGACATGCATAGAAACCACAGAGCGAGAGAAAGTGTGTGTGCAACATGACCACTGCTATAATTAATATAGTTTCCTAAGGAAAACAAAATCATTTTTAAATTTGTTTTGGTATAGTTGATGTATTTTTATGACAAAATAGTATTACTTGAAGGGATACTCCACTTTTTTTGGAAATAGGTTCGTTTTACAACTACCCCAGTTGGATTTTACCATTTTCGAATCAATTCAGCATATATAGTATATTCAGTATATACTATGGAAGTCAATGGGACCAGAAACTGTCTGGTTACTGATATTCTTCTCAATATCAGAAAATCGGCTTGAATGGATTCGAAAATGGTAAAACTCAACTGTTTAACTCTGAGGGAGTTGTAAAATGAGCCTATTTCCAAAAAAGAAAAAGTGGAGTATCCCTTTAATACCAGTGCAAAGGTGTAAAGTTGCATAACGGTATCAATATTGTGTATATCGGTCGAAATTGAATATTTAATACTAGTGCTTGCTCATTTCCCCTATTTTTATCTTTAGTTTACCTTTTTGGCTTTCTAATGCATGCTTAAAGTCAGTATTTTAAAACACTAGTAATTTAATAATACTGTCAAATGTAATCTTTACCAAATCAAAATATAATTTTTTTGTATTGTTCATTATAACGATGGTTTTGAAAATGATGTGCTATGTCTCATTATAGCACATCCATCTCTCTGTTTGTGTTCCTGTGAAGGTTATACCTGTTACAGTGGATCAGACCTGCTTTTCTTTTACAGTGTAGATCGGACCTTTCCTTTGTTAGAGTTTATATGTGTGTGTGAGAGAGAGAGAGCATGGGAAATTGAAGGGAATATTTTCCCCTTTCTCTCTTAGGCATTATGGCATGTGGCCAGGTCGCAGTGTGAGCTCTCTAATGCACACACACACACTATTCCTTATTAAGCTTTGTAGGTATGGGATTCCTCCTCGACAGGATATTACATTAAAGGATGGAGTCAGCCTCACTCTAATTACTCTCCATTCAACTATTTACCGCTGTAACTAATACACAGACACGTTTCTCACATGCTCTCGGTGTGTTAGCCCGAGTCCTTTGTCCTTCGAGTTAGCAGTAAGGAATGTGCTCGTTGATCAGCATCTTAGATCTGATATGGCTAACACTATATATCCCAGAGCGCTGCTCTGTCTGACTGATTGCTAAAGTGTGTGTGTGTATGTGTGTGCTAATGAGGGATCTAAGAGCGAGTTCACCTCAGCCAAACAGGTGTTAGAGAGCTGTGCTCTGAAGAAACAGAATGTTTGCATGACTTTAATGGCTTTACTTTAAACAGCTGGATCTATTTAAGGAGTCCCAGACAACAGCTAACACACAGATGTGTGTAAGTTTGGGAACCAAAGCTTTAAAACTACACATTAGAGAGGTATGATGATTGGATGGATGGATGGATGGATGGATAGATGGATGGATGAATATAGATAGTTTAAGATCACTGAATCAACCTGACTACAATAGGTCATACCAATGAAATAATTTAAGGGTCAGATCTAAATGAATAAAAATTCTATGGTATCAGCTCAACTCTTTTCATAACAGTATGGCTTTTTAGTATCATCATACCTCTCTAATTTTTTAACAAGTTAATATAGAGATGTCATGTGACATTGCCTTTTTCTGTGATTTTTTTTTTTTAAATTATTATTATTATTTTAAGTCTGGATTTTTAGCTAAATTAACTGAGTAAAGCTTGTCTAAAATGTTCATTCTCTTTCTCTCATAAAATATTGACAAATCTAAATCACTTCAGGGAATCAGTTCAGTTAGATTCTTTTAAGTAAACCAGTTCAAAAAGTTTGTTTCATTTAAGTACAGTCCTTGTTTAGATTATAGCATGACAACATTATACACTTTTTTGTTACTAAAGTAATATTATAGTATTTATTAAAATAATGAAAGAAAATATAACAAATGTTCTTTATCTAGTTCTCTCTTTTGTAGCAGATAAATACTGTTCTGAAAATACAATTTTTCAGATTGATAAATGGATAGATATTCACCTTAGGGCTGGGCGTTGACACACTTTTCATGATTCGATCATGAATTACAAGCTTGCGATTTGATTCCGATTAAATATTGATTAAGTTGGATATGTATCAGGTATCAGATACAGTTAGAGTGCATGGCATATTTTCTCAAGGTAAAAAATTCAAAACAACTAATCCCTTTGTCAGTTGGTACTACATTATTATTTTGAGGGTTAAAATGAACTGATTTCGTGTACAAGCGCTTAAGGAAATTTTATAATAATAAAATTATAGTTTATTATTTGCTTTCATTTAGCTTATTATTTACAATTCTTTCTTAATAATTACATAATTATGTTTCTACTCCAATTATTATTAATTTAAATGATAGAGTCTAACGTCTTGAAAAAGGAAGAAGTGAGGAAGATGTTGGTGCCAGACCGGCTGGTCTGAGTATTTCTGCTCAGTTACTGGGATTTTCACGCACAACCATTTCTACAAAGAATGGTGTGAAAAGGGAAAAACATCCAGTATGCGGCAGTCCTGTGAGTTGATGCTAGAGGTCAGAGGAGAATGGGCCGACCGATTCAAGCTCATAGAAGAGCAACTTTGACTGAAATAACCACTTGTTACAACTGAGGTATGCAGCAAAGCATTTGTGAAGCCACAACACACACAACCTTGAGGCGGATGGGCTACAACAGCAGAAGACCCCACCGGGTACCACACATCTCCACTACAAATAGGAAAAAGAGGTTACAATTTGCAAGAGCTCACCAGTTGACAGTTGAAGACTGGAAAAAGGTTGCCTGATCTGATGAGTCTCGATTTCTGTTGAGACATTCAGATGATAGAGTCAGAATTTGGCGTAAACAGAATGAGAACATGGATCTAACATGCCTTGTTACCACTGTGCAGGCTGGTGGTGGTGGTGTAATGGTGTGGGGGATGTTTTCTTGGCACACTTTAGGCCTCTTAGTGCCAATTGGGCATCTTTTAAATGCCACGGCCTACCTGAGCACTGTTTCTGACCATGCCCATACCTTTATGGCCACCATGTACCCATTCTCTGATGTCTACTTCCAGCAGGATAATGCACCATGTCATAAAGCTCGAATCATTTCAAATTGGTTTCTTGGAAACGACAATGAGTTCAATGTAAAATGGCTCTAGATCTCAACCCAATAGA